AGGAGGCAAATCAACTGGTTTTGGCTTGATCTATGATTATGGCAAGAACGCAAAGAAATATGAGCCAAAGTACCGGCTGGTCAGGAATGGATTAGACACAAAGATTGAGAAGTCCAAGAATCAGATGGAGCGGAAGAACTGAGCCAAGAAAGTACGCGGTGTCAAGAAGACTAAGGCAGGAGATGCCAAGAAGAAATAATCTGCAAATAATAGTTCTTTTAAGCCAAATGAGAAAAACTACTGTTACCATGTGTATTGTGTACTAACATATATTATTTCATCAAGATGCATAACTAATTCTAGGTGAATTAAAAATAACAGAGCTTCGAGATCAGTATTTGAAAGAATAATGGTAAGGCTAACATGTTTGTTGAAGATCTTTCTAAACCATCTAAACTAATAACCTAAGAGCAGAGAAAATAAAGAGTTTACATTTTTACAATTATCTTAGGACATAAATGACCTAGCAAAAAGCAATTAACACAGGAGAGTTTTACACCTTAACAAGAATAAAGTTGTACATGTAATGAATTTAAGCTATTCATATACTGAAAATTTAAACAAATTAACACATAAGAATCAGCAAAATTAAGGTGAAAGTCTTCACTGTAGAGCAGCAAAATTTCTAATCATGAATAAACTCATTTTCTTGAGCAAACATGAGATAGAAAACGACCCATTTCGATATGGTGGCAAATGTTATTTCGTTTAGTTGATAGAATTAAAATATACAAGATTGACATAAGTGCTAATTCCATGGGATATCTCACCTCATGAGATATTTCTATTTATCCCATTCGGTGTATCAAATGACCATTCTTAGTATGGGTAATTGTCTTGCAAAAAGTAAAAAAACAAAATAAAACAGGGAATAACATAATAACTTTTTTCATTGATGAGATAGATAAAGGAGCAAACATAAGATAGACTAGGATTAAACCATAAGATAGAGAAAAGGATCAAAACATAAATGAACTTAATTAAAAATGTGTTAGTTGCTCTTTTGATTCACTAATGTGTCCTTTGATGCAGAGGCAACAACCTCAATATCACTACTTAAAACAATAATAGAATTTCCCTTTTCATTGGTTTCAGACGCGGCACTGACCAACTCCTCAAGAATGTCATAGAGAGTCGTCAACGGATAAGTATCAATTAACATTCGCTTCACACAATCAACTCCTATCTGCTTTATCATACTCATCATTAGCAACTCGACCTCCGATCTGAGATCCTTAAGCTTATTACAAATTTTCTTGTACAAAATATTATGATTGATCGGAGACCCATGTAACGTCTCACTAGTAATTGTTTTTGAAGGGGTTCTATTCATGCCAAAAAATATTTCAGCATCCCACCTCAAGCAACTCAAGCAAAAGTGAAAAAAAAAACATGGATAGAACCCCTTTAAAAAAGATTATTAGTGAGTCGCTACATGAGTCTCCGATCAATCATAATATTTTGTACAAGAAAACTCATAATAAGCTTAAGGATCTGAAATCGGAGGTCGAGTTGCTAATGTTGAGTATGATAAAGCAAATAGGAATCGATTGTGTGAAGCGAATGTCAATGAATACTTATCCGTTGAAAAATTCTTTATGACATTCTCGAGGAGTTGGTCAGTGCCGTGTCTGAAACAAATGAAAAATGAAATTTTGTTATTGTTTTAAGTAGTGATACTGAGGTTGATTACAGCCTTTGCATAAAAGGATCCATCAGTGAATCAAAAGAACAACTAGCAACTTTTTACTTAAGTTCTTCGTTTATGTTTTCATCATTTTTTCTATCTTATGGTTTGGTCCTAGTCTATCTTATGTTTACTCATTTATCGATCTAATTAATGAAATTAACGTTATTATGTTATCCATTGTTTCATTCTGTTTTTCCTTTTCTTTTTTTACTTTTTGCAAGACGATTAGCTATACTAAGAACTAAGAAGGGTCGTTTGATACACCGAATGAGATAAGTAGGGATATCTCATAAGGTAGGCCGATATTTAGTCTTATAATAGATGTGTATCATTAAATAATGAAAAACTAATGGAGTGTTTGGTTCAAAATAATCATAGTGTCATGCTAAATCTAATAATTATCAACCTCGAACAACGAAAAATGACAAAAAAAAATGTAGCTTAAGACACATAATACAATTATATTATTTGGTCAATTGACCTACATATACAAATTTAATATACAAATAATATATAACTATCAAGAGAATAATCTCTCTAAGCATAATTCTCCAAACAATTACAGTACATTGTAGATATTATTATGTTACATATGAGAAGAATTGATCTTCTATTTATAGAAGCCCAAAACTTCTCCAATGAAAAGAATAATATGGTAGAATACTTTTCCAAAAAAAAAAAAAAAAAAAATTCCTACCAATTTTTTTTTTTTGAGTAAAATACAATTATGAAAGAATCCAAATAAAGTAGAAAATTGAGGGGAAATACTGACAAATCTCCCCTTACCTAACTTTTCTAGCAAAATAATATTGATCCAGAATAATCTTCATCGTTAATGTTTGTCAGGGTTAAAATCAAGATTTAAAATATTATTATTAAAAATAATTTTAAAATATTTTATTTTTACTTTTAAAGATGCAGTAGTAGAAATGTTGATTAGGGAAGGCATAATTATTCCTCAAACTCTGATTACGGGTGTACATGACTAGATTGGTTTAGATTTTTTAAATATCAAACCAAATTATTTTGTGTTAAATTTTTAAATTTATAAACCAAACCAAACTAATAAAACTCGGGTTGATTCGAGTTTTTCAAATATCAACCAAATCATTTGTGTCGAATTTTTAAAATTTATAAATCAAACAAACTAATAAGCCTTGGATTTTTTTGGGTTTTCGGATTTTTTCGATAAAATATTCATACAAACATAAAATTAATGTAAAATTAACTTGTACTCCAAATATTTCTTTAGTCCAACCAAAATATAACTATCTAAGGTGTTTCTTAAGAAAATAACACAAAATATGAGATGAGTGATAACACTAAAATATTCAATAAAAAATAATAATGAAATCGTATAAAAGAAAATTGCAAATTAATGTCATATTGAAAATGGTCACAATTCAAAAATACTAAATTATGTTAAATTAAGTCTAATAAGAATTAATTACATTATTAAACATTAAAGAAAAAATAAAATTAGATTATGTATTATAAATGTCTAAACCAATATAAAACTAAATAACAAATATTGAACATTATTATCATTCTTAGAGTTGAATTAATTTTTTTTTGTTACCATTAGTATTGATTTGATTTTGAATTAGGACCATTCAAAATTCCAAGTCTAAAAAACTTGAAAAAATATGTTAAAAGATAAAGTTATGAAAAAGTATAAGTAATATTTAGAAATTATATCAAAGTAAATATTTTTATGTATAAAATAAATTTTAAAAATATAAATATAATGCCGGATTGGTTTGGTCATGGGTTGACTTTTTTTTTTTAGTTAAAACCAAACCAACCCAAATATAGTCAAGTTATTTTTTCCAATAACAAACCAAGTCAAACCAAATCATTAGTCAGATTTTTTTTGGTTTGATTCAATTTTCGGTTCGATTTTGTACACCCCTACTTCTGGTTTAGATATACATTCCATCCCACCACAGTTTTTGTGGTAAGTTATTAAAATTAAAAGGGAGTGAGTTTGACTAGTGTCTTTTCTAAGATATTTCGATAACTGAAAGTTGGGAAAAAACGAAGAGAATGTGTATTTTTTTATTCGAGAGTTGGACATTTCAATCCGAGTAAAAGGGGGGAAAACTGCTAACCCTGAGGCCTCATATGATCTTGGATAGCTCGGATAAAGCGTAGCACCTTGTAGATGATTTCATATTTCTAACAGTCTATCGACCACTCCCAGTCCAGGAACACATTCAAGGAATGCCCGCTACAGGGCTGCATGATCTTCAAGAACTAACTAGAAGACGTTTGAGAGTCACTGTCATGATTCATGCAAAGAGTACCGCGTTTGGAGGCTTGGGGATTCAGAAGATCAAGCTAGTTATAGGAACACAAATGAATATCCATACTTGTGATACTATGTAAGGTGTTGGAGAGCAAATGGAGCAGGAAAGAGCTGAAGGAGGACAAAAAAAGGCCAAGGCATTTTCTAGGGAGAACACAATTGGTTGGCAGAACTATGCCCTGAGAAAAACTGCTACTTGGCAAAAATTTAAAGAAGCTTTAGTGCTTTTACACATAAAACTGACTTTCCCAAGAAATTGGTGCTTTGGAGCTTAAGGACTTCATGGCATAGGTTTCACCTTCATTAAGGGAAGAAACATTGCAGTAATATGGCAATTGTGTTCGGATATGAGGAAAAAGAAGATAAGGAAGGCATTATACAATTTCAACTGGAATATCTAATAAACATACCAAGTCAAATAAGGTTTAGAAATATGGATCAATTCTATTCACAATCAACTCTCCATCATCCTGAAGGACTAATTCCATGTGGAGGAGAGGGTTTAAGACGAGGAGATTACCTCCGCTTCTCTTCATTATAGAAGGTCTTGGTATGATACTTAAACCTGCATTCAGAAGGAATGGACTTGGTGGTTCTATGTGGGTGGGTGGATGGGAAGGGGCTGGTTTTTGCATATAAAAATAAATAAATTAATAGCCAATGTATATATCAATGAAGGTTCTATTTACAGTACGTCAAAAAACCAATGACCAGCACTTCATGCATGCCTTTTTAACTACTGTAGTTCTCTTCACAAGATCAGAAGAAGCTTTACATACTGATAAGGAAAAGCAAGCAAAGCCTTCTACCTTTACACAAGGAAATCCATCTTTTTTTGAGAAATGATTAGTGTATTATTAATGTAGCACCAAGAAGGTGCTGTTAAAAATACTTACAAAGTGCCAGAAGAATATCCGTTCTATCATAACGGGATTCTATGAGATCTATCACTGTTTCAGCATAAGACAAACCTACACTACACATAATCAGAACAAGGATTATAGTAGTACTAAGGAGTACATAGTGAAATGACTTCATAAGTAACAAATAAAATGTAACAAGGGACGACCGGGAAGCAGGTGCAGCAAATCCAGCTTAAGTTTTTCCAGTACCAATATCTTTAATTCATGCATATTTACAGCAAGAACAGGCTAAGCATGTCCTTGTAAAAGCTAGAAGTGATAAGTCCAGTGCAAAGCAAGACTGCTGACCTTCAACTTGGTAATTGATCAGACATCCTCACTTACTGCTCTCAGGTTGTTTTGGAGAGCCTTCAAAGGCTTTTGCAGCTTCAATAGTTGCGTCTCTTCTATTAATGACTTCCCAAAGCTCCTCAACCTTATCTTTCAACATGCCAACATTAGAATTGGTTGAGTGGACCAACTTGTTTGCAGTCTCCAGTGCAGTGCATAGCTAGAATGCAATAAAGAACAAGAACGCATTAATAAAGTGAAAACATACAGAGACACACTGCATATGGTGGAATGTAAGAAAAGAGAGAAATAGCAGAAGCTTTGAAGATAGGTCCAATTCTTTCATAAAGTTGAATGGAATTGTATTGTATCTTTTATTATTGGTATAAAAAGATAGAAATAGATGAATAAGAACTAGTAGATTTGTTAGGATCACTGTAAGTAACTTCCTCCTACTCTCTTTTGCTTCCTTTTGAAGGTCTCCAGCATATGCATTATTGCAGAGGAATACAGTGTTGCCAAAATTTTAAAAAAAAGCATACAGAGATATAGATTTAGAGTCCCTCTCTCTCTTAATTGTTTTTAAATTTTTGGATAAGAACAGATTTAGTCTTTTTTGTTTTGTTTTTCATTAAGTAAAACAGATTTAGTGTCTTTTTAGAGGTATTTAAAAAATGGGGCTGATCCAATGTGTCAGATATAAAAAGGGAATTGTGTGACCAACAACTCCATCTGCTTGTCACCCATTTACCTATTTTGGTAATTACAGATGCATAGAGTATAAACAATACAATCATTAGTCCATGTCAAAAACGAAAGGATGTGAATGCTGCAAATCACAATGCCACTGGATTCAATTTGGTACATATTACTACCAGCGCTAGATATGGTTGAATAGAAATATTTAAGATCCCAAAGACCAAATTGAAAAATTCATTCTGTCTCAATTAGTGCCTTATTGAGGTATCCCGTATCCTCTATAACTTCTCCTATGAAATCAACTTCTATTATGGGTATTACCTCCAGTGTGAGATGCGTCCATGAATGATCTGTGCCAGCAAGTGCCTTGTTCAGCTGCTCATACTTTTCCTAAACAATAAGCAAAATATTAACTTGCTATGTGACTTAACATCCAAAGGAAGAATATTACCAGTGCATTCAGAAAGAAAAATGAACGCCCAAACATTACACTATAGCAAACTAGTGCTATTAACAGAGGTCATATAAAAGCAGACAGTTCCGTTCCAAAAGAATAAAATGTCAAGGTGTATGGTGGATGAATTAAACTTCCCCAATCAAGGAGAAAACTATCCTAAGCCTGGCTGAAGTAGGAAAAAACGTGAATAAAATATACTTCACTGTTTTACCATATTCCATTAAGACTTCACAATTGCTGATCAAAATCAATTGCTAACAATATTCAGAATGTAGGTTTAGGCGAGGAACTACGGGGGTTTTGATGTGTCAAAAAAATTCCCCTTTCAGTTATTTTAAGTTTATCCTCCTGTCATAGCCTAATTTTCATCATCAAGAACCAAACGCTTGCAGGAGAAATCGTAGCCCTTGATCACCATAGGAGAACAAAATTACCAACCTAGTTGCAGCAGTAAGAAAAGCAAAATGATTTTGAACACATTAGTTTCACGTACATCAGAATTTCAACACTGAATAGAGTGGAAAATGCAAACATACAAATTGTAATGTCATATGATGTATGATGTTTTTTCTGAGAATGCATTATGGTGGATGAAGTCAACTACCTCTTTATATCACCCTAGTATAGTATCGTGGTTTTTATCATACCAATTCATATTGTCTACTGCAAACTTTAGACTAACTTCATAACAGTTCCAAAGCATTAGTGTCTCCAAAATTATGGCAGTGACAACAAATTTAACTATAATTTCTGCTCACACGGAGGATATTTCAAAATTCTGAACACGAATTGACTTCTCATCACTATAGGAGGCACACGTAAAACCTTACTTTATTATATCTCCAACACTCCCAAGAGCGCACTATATCTCTAATATCACTCAGAATAAATGCAAAACTAACTATGAATAAAACAAAATAGAGAAGACAATCTATATATTAGTCGCTGTCCTAGTCAAATTCACTAAATAGGCAAGTATTTTGGTTTGGGATCTCAATCTAAATCATTTCATCATCTAAGATAGCAAAAATTTAGTATAGTCATAAAAAGAACGAATAAAGGCAGAGAGATGGCGTTGTGTGGAAGAGAACCTGAAAGAGCTTGTTTAGATCGGAGGGTTGGAGGCTGGAATTGTAGTCCGGTGAAGGTGTATTGATTGGGTGCGACGGAAGCTGATCACCGCCGGCATCGCTTTCTCCAACGTCACTCAGCAGATCGCCGATGCATAACAATGGCCCTCCCACTCCTCTCATCTCTCTCTCTCTCTCTTTCTCTTTCTCTTTCTGTCTTTGAAAGGGCGGGCAGGCCTGGGCGTAGTTGGCCCAGACGTTAGATACGGTCCACGAAATTGTGGCCTCGTTGGTTTGGGGGTTAAAAATCAATTCGAAAATTGAACTAAATCATAAATTGAGTTAAATTGGAAAAAAAATATTGACTAATGATTTAATTTGATTAGGCTTGATATTAGAAAAAATCCAATTATACTTGAGTTTGTTTGATTTTAACTAAAAAAAAGTCAACTCAGCACTATATCAATATGACATAATATATATAATTTTTAAAATTCATTTTATACATAAAAATATTTACTTTGATATAATTTATAATTATGTATTAGATCTTGGGTATGTTGGCAACTGATTCACCCAGGAACGAAATTCCATAATTGGCTAAAGGAGTGATTAGATCGTGCACTAGCCAATAAAAATTGAAAAGCCAACTTCCCGAATGCAAAAGTTCATCACATCGAATCTGGTTCTTCGGATCATGTAGGAAGTTTTTTGAACTTGGGATCGAAAGTTATTTTTTATGTGGCTAAGCCTTTTCGATTTAAGAATTCTTGGATGAAGGAACTGGGCATTAAGCATGTTGTTCGTGGGAAAAAAGGAGTCTACTTATTCATAAAATAATTAAACGTTGCGGAGAATACTTGCATGATTTGGGGGGGGGGGGCAAAAAGCAACAATTTAAGGCTAAATTGAAACATGTCAAAGCACAAATGACCATCTACGAAAAAACAGCACCGACCATAAATGCAGTTGTTTAGTATTGTCAAATCAGCATATGTGCAAGCCCTTGAGCAGCAAAATATTTAGTGGAAGCAGAGAGCTGAACAAAATTGGTTGAAGGAAGGTGATGCAAACACAAATTACTTTCATTTCATAACTTCTAGCAGGCGAAAGAAGCACACATTTTCTCATTTTAAGGATGAAACAAGACAATGGTGTGGTTGGAATAGTAGTTTGGAGGGCGTAATCTCTAGTTTTTATGAATCATTATTCACGTTTGAGCAAGGAGATATGAAACCAATTCTTAATAAGATTGAGGGGAAAATTACGACGGATTAAAATGCATTCTTGAATCAACTTTTCACTATTGACAAGGTGAATGAAGCAGTTTCTTTAATGCTTCCGGATAAGGCGTTAGGTGTAGATAAGGTTGAATCCGAGTTTTTATCAGAATTTTTGGGTTGTATTTGATAAAGATGTGGTGAATGTGATACTCAATTTTTCAATAACAATAGTCATTTCAGGAAATAATTTTACTGAAATTATTTTGTTTCCAAAAAAGAATCAACCCAAGCTAGTTTCTTATCTAAGACCAATTTATCTGTGTAATGTTATTGATCGTATAGTTTGCAAGATGTTGGCAAATCGCATGAAATCTTGCTTGAAAGATTGTATCGTTGAAGCCTAAAGTGTATTTATCCCTGAAAGATTTATTCTTGATAATGTTATTATCTCTTTTGAGGTCAATCACTATTTAAAACGTAAAGCACAGAGAAAGACAAGGTATGTCGCTTTGAAAATAGACATGAGCAGAACCTATGAATTATGATAGAGTGGAGTGGAATTTTTTGAGAAATGTGATGATAAAGATTTTCATCGGATTTGATTACAAAGATCATGAAAATGGTTGTACTGTGTCTTACCAAATACCTCATGCTGATAACAATTTTGGTGATATCATTCCATCACGAGGCCTACGACGAAGATCCTTTGTCACCATATCTTTTCATCACAGTACCAGGGGGTCTTTCATCTTTGTTAAGTGCTCATGCCCGCCAAGCCACGTTTCATGGAGTGAAAGTCACTCCACAGACTCCACCTATTATTCACCTTTTTTTGCAGATGATGCCTCATATTTTTTTTAAGTTGTGGAGTCGGAGGCTAATATTATTAACAGTGTTTACTGCTCTATCAAAATGCATCTGGACAACAAGTTAATTTTCATAATCTTAAATATATTTCATTAGATATACCACAGAAGAAATGAAGGATGTTATTGCATTCATTCTGCACGGAAAATACACCATTAATATACCCGATCTATTACTATGAAATCCTTAACAAGAGTAGAAATATGCACAAGCAAATCAAGTCACGTAACATATTCAGATTCAAAGCAAAGTATGCAGACACATAAGAATTGATACATCCTAAGTCAAATAATATTACAGTCGATGAATGAAAAATCGAAATAATACATGTGATAAAATAACATTACTGCCTCTAACCTACCTAAAAATCATAACACTAGGTAATCATAACACTGGGCACAATCACCCTTAGACTATGAACCTTCACGACCACCACCTCATCGGGAATAGAAACGACCTATGTCACTTTGTGCACCTCTCCTAAGGGTCAGTGTTTGTGTGGCCTTAGAAGTCAAAGCCTGAGAACCGTGATGCAAACCACCCGTCTGAGCTTGAAATGATCTCTCACAAAATGTCATGTGTCACCACACTCAAAACAATCCCTACGGGGCACAAATGAGAGCAATTTGAATGACCGAAAGTCCCTCCGTGGCCTAAAGGTCTAAAAGATGATCCATGTGAAGTTTCTAATTAGACTTAAAAATTGAAGTTAAAGAGTACTTTTTAGAGATATAATAAGCAAAAGGCCAAAATGGTAAAACGTCCTTGCGAAGGACATACTTGTTAGACCTTACTCATAGGAGACGTTAAAACCAATTCATCGTAGGATCATTTACGAACTTTGCCCAAGTAGAAACTTTTATAAACGGTCGTAGATGACTGAATAATCTGATCCTTCCAAGAGCTTAAAGAATCTTATTTGTTCTCTTCCATTTGTTAATTGAAGAAATAATGGCAAATAAAAAAACCAAACAAGGCTCTGGCAAATGAGAACACCTAGCTTTTTTTTGGCATCCAACAATCATCAGAATGCATCAAGCATTCTCCGTGTGCTAGCGGATGGAGAATTCGTTCCCATTTCAGAGTCTCACATTCAGATTACAAAGGAAACAGAAAATATTGACATTTTACCTACGCAGGAATCTTTAAGGATATATAAGAAGAAAAATTATAGTATACTTATGTAGCCACGAATCACAGCCCAAAATATGACCATACAAAAGTAGAACTGTCAAGGACTCCCAACTTCAAAAACCATGGGTCCTAGTCCAGCAGAAACTTAAGGAGAAAAACATTAAACAGAAATTTGTCTCGGAAATTGGGCATCAGAATGTCAATGCAACAGAGTCGGCTTAAACTTATATAGGAAGGAGACGGCCAACAAAAATAAGGACCATATCCTATAGGTAGCTTTGGTTAAAAACAGCCACTATATAAAAGACCCCATTTATCTACACATCCTATTAGATGTCAGTCCAGCATTGAGCCCTTGCTATGTACGCATCGGGCAATCTAATCGGAAGATCTGAATTCTACTCAAACCTATAAACTACCTTGGTATCTACACACCAGAGTTGCACTTACTTCCAAGATATCACACTTCCAACTTCAGTTTAACCAGAATAATATTCACACAAAGGCTCAGTTACTTGAAATATGAACTAATAAACAGCCTTGCCCCAATATCAAGGGGGCCATACCCTCCTCCAATAGCGTGAAGAGCAACAGTGATTGTTGAAAGAAGTCGCAGAGTCACAGGGAAAACAGCAGGTTCGATCTTTGGTATACCAGGAAGACAAGAATTTGAAGCATTTCCAATTTGTAACACACCGCTCCCTTCCCGATTATTTGGTCCACACAAATCCAGTTCTTGGTTCAGTTCACATGGGCTAAGAATGAGTGCTACTTCTTCAAGTGATCTGCACTTCCCTGGACTACCCCTCCTGTTAAAGCGCTTATTTGTAGACGGACTAAGTACCAATGTTGAAGTAGCCTCAAGCCACTCCACAGTCAGTCCCTCAACTTCATCATAATATATGCGCTGTTCAGTCTGAAAGTGTACAAAACCATATAAACAAGACATTCAGAGAATAAGGCATGTCAGATATACATACCAAGTATAAACAAGACAGAGACAGAAGGGATGAACAACTTGCTGGGATCCAACAGAGAAAACTGGTCCTCAAGGGAACTTCTGGATTGTAAATAATAAATAGATCAATCAATCAGGGTAACAAACTTACAGCAAGCTTGTGGATGTATAATGACATGAATCGCGGTCCCAAACCCATAACTCTTGCTTCTGAGAACAATATCTGCATGGAGGATAACACACTAATAATCAAAGGACTATTCTTGTCCTTGAAAAAATCAAAGGACGTGTCCTTGAAAAATTGATAATGTGCAAGGATGAAGTCAAGATAAGTGGCCAAAGGTGAAAGGACTATGCATCGTGAAAATTCCAATAAAGAGCAAGGAAAAAGGTTATATAAATAATCAAGTTCTGTAATCCTCTCATCTTCCCTATGTGAAGCTATTGCGCCTTTTTATAGATAAACTTGCAACTTCTGTTGATTAGGTCCTTCGAAATCCATGCCGCACCCAATCTGATACGATTTGGGTGTGGATGTGGGTGTGGGTGTGGGCGTGGGATCCATACTTGATTTAGTTTAACCTAACTTGGATGCTAAACTATTAATTTAATAACTTCATTGCATAGTTGAAACATGTACAAATATATATACGTACAGTTCCTATATATATCCCCGAATCCTAAGATTTAGAAGATGACGAATCCGACTTCTAGATCAGCACCTGTGTTGGGTGCCTACATCCATATCCAAGCAACATAGCTTGCAGCACAACTAACAGTACAAAACATCTTTCCTTTTTTTTAGTTGTTAAAGAGTACAAAATGCTGTTATTATCCTGCCATTCAGCCCTTCTCATTTTCGAAACTTGATAGACACAAGTTATCAGAGGACTACTTTGATCCTAAAATTTTTTATACAGTACAAGAAAGATTCCCACATCTTTCCCATGTAAAGCTATTGGAACTTTCAAGACAAAAAGACTAGCAGCACATAATGAAGTACAAGGATCTCCAGCATTCCCTTCCTCTTTGGGCTGTAAATTCAGCCCCCGAACTGTCTTTCTTACAACCTACTACGCTGAACTTCTAGATTTCTTCATGCTCTTTACTCAAAGCATAAGTAGCCAAATTTCATTAATTGTTTACATAGTCAGTAAGAGCTAACTTTGCTTGTAACTGTTCATTTCTCCAGCGATCTTGATGCTGGCTTCATATATAAAACCACCTTACTTATCAAAAGATATGACAAGCCTATGTGTTTGCTAAATTCTCAAAATACTACCAAGTTCAGGTCATTTTTCAATGGCTGAAATCAGCTTCAAGATCAGAGATGTACAAACAGTCAAACAGCATGCTAATGAATTTAGTAGCTTAAATGACATGACAAATTTTTAAGTTCCTCTAGAGTTCTGTTGCTTTCAGGCTGTAAATTCAGTCCCCTAAACTGTCTTTCTTACACACTAGTTGCTGTAATTCCAAAAAATTTCATGTTCTTCACTCAAAAATATAACAAGCCTTATGTGTTTGCTAGATTCACAAAAAAAATACCAAGTTCACGCCATTACCCACTCTTTCGTCAATGGCTGAAGTTCAGCCTCAACATCTGTGACTTACAAACATTCAGCTAAAACCTGATAGCATTTCAGGTACCAAATAAAGCAATTTGGGTGAAAAAACTCAGGTTCACTGATAGCTTATTATCATCGAGAAACGCAGATGGTCAAGCATGAAAACTCAAGGCAGAAAATCTAACATTTTTTCACCCCACCCCCTCACCCACCCACCCCAAAAGAAAGAAGCACAAAAGATCTGATATTAGTGCAAGATATCCATTTATCTTGTCAAGACTAAACCAGCATTTATGTTTAACAGGCACACTAATTAGAGGTCATCCCACAACACCAATTGCTACCTCCAACCTTCATTTGTTGTAAAAGAGTAGAATGCTTTAGACATACGTTACGTACCTCCTTTCTTTTTAGAAGTACCCACATGTAGAGTTTCTCCATAGCATCTTTCACGTGCCTGCAAGCCAACTTTCTTTCATTGCAATGGGAAGCAATATCAGCAAGAGTTTCTGCACAGGGAGCCTTATATTTTGATGCTGCTGCAGATAATGCTTCTTGAGCTTCAGGTGATTCAATTGCATCTTTATTGAAGTATACATCGGTCAAACATCTTTGGCGTCTCATTTCTCCCCGATCTGGATTTTGCAACAACTTGAGCTTCAGATACACCTCTTCAGCTTCTACAGCTGCAGCAAGCATCCGATGCACCAGAATATCCGGATAGCGCCGGAGCGGAGAAGTAAAGTGTGTGTATAAAGGAATAGCAAGGGCATAATGACCCCTATCATTTTCATCTTCTACATCGCCACTGCAGAAGTAAGTTGCCAATTGCATGGGTCTTGCAGCGTAAGACATAAGAATATCTGTTAACACAGAATCATCCGCAAGCTCTCTTCTAATGCACTCCAACGACTTATGAATCTGGCCAGAAGAAGTAGTGTCCAATCTCAGACCATGTTTAGAGCAGAAGGACTCAAACTCTCTGAGCTTACGCAGGTTGGGTTCAGGGTGCCTTCGCAATAGTGCACTGGAAGGATAAGCTCTAGTTATAACTTCAGCAGCTGTCCTGTTGGCCAAAAGCATAAACTCCTCAACAAGCATGTTTGACTCCTTCCTTCCACTGAGCACACTATCATAAGGTATCCCTTCTTCATCAAATAAGAAAACTATTTTGGGACTTTCGAGTGACAGAGCCCCATCTTCAAACCTCTTTTTCTTCAAGATTTTAGAGATTTCATAAAGGTTCTTGACAGATGTAACAACATCAGACCATTTAAAAAGGCCATGTAACACTGGCCAAGAATGTTCTCCTTTATAAGAACTTGGATTATCAAGCAACCCATCAATAATATCCTGAGCATGATCATACGAGAGCTTGCAACAAGATTGAATTATAGTGCGGCCAATCCAGCGCTGAATAAATTCCCCAGATTGATTGATATCCCAAAAAATAGAAAAAGCAAGTCTGTCCACACCAGGTTTAAGCGAACCCAGATTCTCAGAGAGCAATGGGGGCAACATTGGCAATTTACTTTGCAACAAATACACACTTGTTGACCTCGCTTGGGCATTTTCATCTAAAGCCGAGTCTGGTAGAACAAAGTATGAGACATCAGCTATATGGACCCCAACTCTAAAAATACCGTCAGGCAACCTTTCAACAGACAGTGCATCATCAAGATCGGTGGCAGTAGCAGGGTCAATTGTAAAAACACACAAATTTCTGATGTCTCTTCTACTCTGAAGCTCCTCTTTAGGTATTTCCCATGGGATACTTGGAAGACATGATAGGGTCTGTTGACAGAATTCTGAAGAATCAATTGCATTTTCGTATAAGGTTGCAGCAAGCTGTGGCTCCAGTTCTCCACCTCGTCCAAATATGTCAGTGACATGAGCTTCTGGGATATAGTTCTCTTCTGCCCAGTCTGCAATCCGTGCGGCTACTAGGTCCATCTCCACTGCCACATCACCAGCTTCCAATCTTTTCAAAATGAGGTCTGGCAGGCTCTTAAACGGCACCATCATTTTCGGAAGCCGAGGATCATTTGGTGTTAACATGAGATATTGACAGTTCAAGGCAGTCGATAAATATTTATTCTTCTTCAAGTCCTTTTTGTTACCTTCTCTACTCCACATCCACTTCTTGACATTGAGAAAACCGACAATAGTGTCCCGACAAGGTGACCCCTCAAGGATAGCCACAACCCTGCCTGTTGGTCGTTTAGATGGGAATGAATCCACAGCAGCTGACAATCTCTCTGTTGCATGCATAGCATCATTTATTTCACTATAGCACCCAACCATGGAAGGTTTCGGAGCAGTCATATTATGTCTATTGACATAATCATTCTCCGCAGGTACCTTTTCTTCAGGATGTGAAATGTCTCCAAAGGACTGCCCACTTCTATAACCTAACACACTTTCCAAGGGGCTAGAGCACTTTCCAAAACTACTGAACTCATAATCTGTGTCTACCTTGTTCTTCCCTTTGCAACTCTCTCTGACAAAGTCTGAATTGTCAGACTCCAACATACCATCGTCTACCAATGCGGAACTCTCAACACTACCTGTATATCCTTTCATTCTAGTCCAAAGAGAAGGAGGATCAACTTCAACAGCAACAATGTCTCCTTCAACCTGCAAGAAATTGTAGAAAAGAAAATGTAATCCTGCAGATGGCACATTCAGCAACCAACAAATAAACTGACACATATAAATGACTAATCAAGGACAAAAGATACACCAGACTTACGGCTCTGTTTTGAGCTGCAGCTCCACTAATAAGAACATCTGTTCGCACACCATCAACTTTACAATAGGCCTGAGAAGCAGGGGTTATATAAATATGCTTCTCATGAAAGCATCAGAAGAATTATCAAATCAACGCACAACTAAAAATGGAGCAGCAAAGAGATAATTGAATCTGTTACTATGGATTACCTCAAGTCTATTGTGAGCATTGACACGAAATAATGCTTTAAAGACATGACCCCTCTGCATGACAACAAAAGCATATCATCAAACTTCCATTCAACAACCACACATTCGTTTAATTAACTTATCTATCAATATACAAGTTTCAAGGCACGTTATGAGGCTGACCTCCAGTGCTTTATGAACAGCTTCTGCTGGCCAATGTGAAGAAAAATATTTCCTCTGTGGGTAAGAAGTAATTGACTGGTCACCATAAGCAATATAGTCTGGGCATGAACCTGAATATACTTGTCCACCAACACCCGGTGAAAACGTTAGCTGCACAGGGAGACTTTCAGTCTCTGCTGCCTGTTCATTTAAACGCATTGTGGGCAAGGAAGTAAAGGCAATGTCTGATGCTCTAGGCAATGAAAACTCTTCAGATCCTTCATGATTCAAGATGGGAACACCTCCCTTAAAATTTGATTCCCCAAGACAGCCAGTCAGCGAACTACTTGCTGTTGCAAGTACAAGCTCAAATAAGTGAGAGGAAACGTACAAACAACAGACTCTATCAAACCACGATCCATACTGTCATGCAAGAAAAGCTCAACTGTTTTCCCCACTCAAGAAAAAGACTCACAACACTAAAGGCCTACTTATAAATTACATATTGGTTTAACTAGTTAAATCCATTATAAAAGAAATCAAAGAGGAAGTACAATAACTTGCAAGAAACATAAACTGGAAACACAATTAGCATAAAAGAACACAAAAGAAGATAAATGTATTTCAACTCTAACACCAAGCTCTAGTTTCCACCAAATTAATGCGGTCCGAGGAGAGTAGCCAGTCTAATCACAGACCTCCCTCCAGTTTGATTAAACTAACCTCCCTTGTGATTTGAGCTATTACACTCACCTCCCTTATTTTGGTATTTTTTGTAACTAAACATGTTAATATGGTAAATTTTCTATCCTTCCAAATCTACCTTTCTATGACATTAAATCCTCTCAAAGACTTCCCTTCTTGTCTCCTCTCTCAAAACCTATTCAAGACGCCATTAATTCCTCCTCTAAGTTTGTAATACATTTTTCCCATCAATTATTTGCTCCTATAGTTAATAGTAAGTATCATCTTCCTTGTTTACAATGCTTTGATAGGTTCGGTGCCTTGTCATGAACTGGACATTTTAGGATCAACTTGATATGAACTTCCAAATAGAAATGATTTTTTTTATCTTTGGTTTCTCGTTTTGATATTGCATGTGATCCTAACGCTTTAGATTGACATGTCTTTCAATAAAAGATCAAAAGCTTTTGTGGAAATAACAAGATAAAATTAATGGAGAGACAATCTGGAGATTGCGAAGAAAGAGTCACAAAGCGTGACAGTGTTCTGAAAGTTGTTCTTTTCGGGTTTAAGAAGACCTTGAACTCCACAATTATGCAGCGGAGTGTATTTTACTAAATATACCAATTCATATCCATTTTTCCATATCAGAATTCTACATGATTGAAGAGCATTCTTCAACCTAATAACTAATATTCCTCTTGTTCAACCAAAGAGTGTATTTGTGGAATATAACAAAGAAATTATCATTTAACAATATTTTGTTACAAGAAAATGAAAATAAGTGAGATGGGTGCAATATCTCAAATTAAAGGGGAGATTAGTGTTACAAAGCCAACCCTTCACTGTTGTCTCTGAAATTATCCCTAATTCTTTTAATTTTGATAAATATGAGTGAAGCTCGGTTATTTTCTTAACAAATCCACAAGCAAGCACACATTAATGGCTCTACACATTACCTTCTCTTTGGGGCGGATCTATAACAAAGGGTAGGTATTTATTAAGAAAATACTATATACTTAAAGTATATTTAGCTGGGAACCCAAAACTCTAAAATACTAAAATAGTCTATTGGTTCCATGGTAAGCGAGGAACCGACTACAGCTTTGCTCTTGCAAACGGCGAGGGATCAATCCCCATTATGCATATTTTAACTTTTACTTTCATTTGTTTTTTTTTTAAATAAGGTAGAGAACTTTTACTTCATTCGTGGCATACACTAAATTTTTACTTCCATTTGTTGCATACTTCAACTGTTACTTCCATTCATTGCACTTTAGCTTCCATACACTGCATTTTTTTAACATTTACTACAGTTGCTATTTAAAAAACATCATGCCGACGAGGCGATGAGTACTAATTCTTCTGCTTCTCTTTTTTTGTTCAATGGAACACAACAAATGAAAAGTCAAACTAAAGAAGAACTAGTTAAATTATCCCCTGTTCCCTTTTAAGTGATTTTTAACCTCTTCAATTTATTCCAAAATACGTATTATTATTTTTCAAAGTTACCCTTGTTTATTAAGTGTTGAACAAATTCCTAAGAAGTTCTTAAAATTTCTTTACATTTTTGCATGTATATATTATAGGGTCTTTTAGAATAATTCACTTAACTAATATTCTTAAGTGATATTTTTAATGGGTGAAACCCCTAAAAATCACTTAAATATGAATTGAGAGGATTAAAAACCTTGCTAAAAGTATCACTTTTGCCCAAATTCTGATTTTAAAAATCAACTCTCAGACAAAGTAAGAAGGGCTTTAAGGATCTAAAATTGTCATGTTATTGCATCCATTGAAATAGTTTTTTCTTTGATAATCATATTATAAATGAGTTGCAAAATAGTTGTAGTGATGAATTTCTGAATGATTGTTTAGTTGTTTAAAAATGAAATATTTGAAAGTTCACTTTAAAATGCAATCATTGATCATTTTCAAAACATGTCATGTCGTTGAGTACAAGTGCAATGAAATGGTTATATATTCATATATTTTGTTTAAGTGGTTCGTTATTTCTTAAATATATACTTCGAATACCGTTACTCGTTTCTTAGTCAGGTTATTATTATATATATAATAACTTGAGGTCAGTATTAGTATAGGAATAGTGATGGAACCAGAATTTTCACTAAAGAGAAAATGAAGAAGATTTAACATATATATATATATATACACAATCTTCTTTTTTTACCAAGTAAAAGGTTTCACTGATAATAAAAAGGCCAACTTGGCCATTTACAAGTGGTGTACCAAAAAGAGGAGAAACCCATAAAAATGATATTCTCCAAAAGACGCCCAATCCTATCTATATACCACAAGGAACTACATGGGTTCACCTATATACGCAATCTCTAAACAACACCCAATCCTATCTATATACTGACAGGAACTACATGGGTGCACCTAAATATACAATCTTTTACCTATGATAGTATAAAATTTCTACAGAAGAGGTTAACACCCCTTTGAACAAGGTGGCTCCGCCATTATATAGGAACCCATAAACTTCAAATCCTAGATACGTATCTGCTTTCCATCAGCAATTGATTTGGTTACAACCACATAAATAGAAGACTAGTATGATTAATTCATGTATGCTTAAAAGTGTTACATTAATTATACATAGAAAAAGTTAGAATCACTTAGCAAGAAGTTCAACTAATAAAATAAAAAAACAACATACAATTTGCCTTCACCATTTTTAACACGTAACATTTGATTTCCAACGGCGAAATCTGCAAATACCAATACAATCACATAGAACATACTAAAAACATACCTGTTGGAGGAGAATTTTGCTTAGATCGTCTAGATCGACGGTTTTTCTTCTTATCAACAACTACAGCAGTCTGATTCTGATTTTCCCCAGGCTCCGCAACCAGTACACCCATTCCCTGAAATTTAAACCTAAAACTTAAAAAGAAAAAATAAACTAAAAACGATCGGCGAAGTAGAAATCAAGCGTGAAGCATCTTCCGATGTATAAAAATTAACGGAAGAAGAAAGAAAGCAGAGAGAATTAGTAGTGCGGTTTTTGTGTGTATATATATATGAATATGATATGAGGCTTGTGATGATTGGTCGGCGTAGACAAGGGCGCCGACTATTGATTCCTTTGTCTTCTCTTCTTCTTTTTTTTTTTTCTTCCTTGTTTAGGTAGATAAATATGCTTTTTTTTATTTTATTTTTTATTTCCTCTCAGTGATTAGTATCCACATTGAAACCTGACTAAATTCGAATTTACGTCGAAGAGTCCCACATTAAGGGTAAACGCTTCCTAATAATGGCAACTTATATCTAAGGAGACTCAAATCTGAGAGCTCTTGATTAAGGATGAAGGGATACTTTACCACTTCACCACAACTCTGATTGGTTTTATTTTATATCTTACTAGTCATTTGCTTTGAGGGAAAGGGATTGAAAGGAGCATTGGGTGGGGGATGAGACAGCATGAGGGGACTTTTTTCTTTGAAGGTTTTAGGTTAAAAAAGATGAATGAATGGGGTGGTCAATTCTCATCTTTCTATTTATTTATATTATTGTTATTATTTAAATTAGGGCAAACAATATAAATTTTACTAATTTAGTACTTTTTCTATTTCATATTAGGTAAAAAAATTAGGTTTTTATAATTTTCAGAATAACTGAATTGTTCAAAATTCAATATGAATGTTTGAATTTTTTTCCTTATTGATCGCTTCATTAATTGAGTTATATTTTCTAGGAGATTAATTACATTACTTAAAAATTTATATTTGTGATTTCATAAAGGAAAATAGTAAAAATTATGTAACTAAGCGTTTTTCTTGAATTCTTAATTAATTGTTTCCGATTCACTGGATCTTACCTCTTTTGAAAGGAGTCAATAAAAAGTAAAAATATGGACTAACTTAAACTAATTTGATACGTGTATATTGTCTCACAAATTCAATTTATTTGGAATACATGGAATAGTTAATTATCTTCTTTTTTCGTGAATTTGCTATATTATGAATCCTATCATAATTTACATCACCCGACATATTTAGATACATATTAACGAAATACATATAATGAAAATGTATCTAAATAAGGAATGTAACTAAGGATATAAATTAAAAAGAAAATCACATGTATAACTACTTTGGAGTATTTGACGTATCACAATTCCTAAATTAAAAAAAAAAATCAAAACCATTTCATTTATTTTTAGAATCAGCAAATTTAACACTTTTTCTTTCTCAGAATTCTTGTCCAATACTTTTAAGCTTTTTTACTCAGTAATGATCAATATCACTATATTATTGAGATATGCTGAAACAATATACTGATTAATATAACCACTAATATCCTTGATCATTATCAAGTGAATGAACTTGTGTAGTTAGTAAGAAAAAATATAAATTGTGTGTGTTCATTGCTCGTGTTGATATATATACGTCTGGAGACTGAAAGCTGCAAAAAGAAACCTAGAAAATCATCTCCACAATAGCCTCTAAGAGTGTATAAACATTGGTTGGGAGGCTTCGACTATATCCAATTTGTACAAAAAAGTTAAGCATCCCATGAAAGCTCCAGAAAAGAGTGGAGCTTACCAACTCACAACTATACCCCGAATTCTGGCGGAGGGGTTAATCAGAATCTCTATCTGAACCTGCACGCACAAAATAAAAAAGTAGCGTCTCTAGGCAATGGGACGTCAGTACGAATAAAAATGTACCGGTAAGTAAAGTAGAAAGTAGAATCATAAGTAGTTGTTGTAAAATGGGTAATAACGATATCACCTGAAACAAAAACTCTGATAGCCTTTATGGCTGGCATCCGACTTTATATAAATCGTATAAGTGTAGTAAAGATTGATGGGACAGGGTCCCAGCCTACCCATACAAATATATACAACAAAAGCTAACAAACCTCCCAACTCTGGAAGCTTCTGAGGAAAAGGGTTAGCCAACCCGATAGAAGTCAATCCTGTTGCCGAGGAGGTCTAATGGGTCGTCTGTCGAGTCCTGCATATATGAATGCAGCGCCCCCCGGCAATGGGGCGTCAATACAAAATAATGTGCAGAGTATGAAAGGCTATAGACTAAATGAGTAAGTATCATAATATACCAAAAGCAATTAGGTAAGGAAATTAAATTTAGATAAGCATGCTCACCCACTACTGAATCTAAAAAATACAATAATGATCAAATAGCAACCTAACCATTCCCCCATAAGCTCGGTAGGTACAAACAACATACCACCTACCTAGACCCCCATTAGCCCTGAAGGTGCCAAATCAATCTACATAACCCTATCGGTAGCCCCTTGTCTTTGTAAGAAGTCGCATAGCCCTTTTTGGCAACGATATAGCCCCGAAGGCAGAGCATAGCCCTCTTAGGCAACATCATAGCTATGTGGGCTGCACCTAGCCCTCTTTTGCATCACATAGCCCTGTAGGCAACACATAGCCCTCTTTGGCGTCAAAATAACCCCGTAGGCAACACATAACACTCTTTGGCATAAATATAACCCTGTGGGCAACACATAGCCCTCTTAAGCAATAACATAGTCCTATTAGACAAGATCATATCCCCCATAGGCAGTTCATAGCTCAATAGCCAACCATAATAGCTCCAAGGGCGACAACAAACAATTGAATAAGCTAAAGTTGAGCAATTTAGCTATACACAATATATATATATATATATATATATATAGTTTCCAAGTCGTTCCTAATTCAGGGTCGTTCTTAACAGATTATGAGTCCTTATAATGAGGGTTTATAACCACTCAATCAACCAACCATTCACAATTACATCTACAAGATCACCAACATTAACTACCCTACTATATCACTCCCAAGCTCTAAGGAAATATACCGAGAGAAGGGAATAGCCTTAACATACCTTTTCCTTTATAATTTATGCTGAAAATACCTTTGTCTGCACCACTACAACACTAAAAAAAGGTAAAATCAATCAGTAATTAAGGACAAGAATTACTACGACAATCGATACGGATTCTTATCGTAAATTACTATCCAAGACCTAAGGTATCCATAAACTAATAAAAGATGGTTCCTACCTTTCTTTACACGCCCAGAACACTTAAATAAAATCAAACCATTGAAAAAACTCTGTTGCCATAGCCTCCACGGGGGTACACCGATCAATTCAACATGAAAACTATACCAAAACGACAAGCTTCCGAAGTAGGGCAATTTTTTATATGGAGCCAAGAAGAGATTATGAACACACAAGGATGATTTGAGGAGAATTTCTCTTATTTTTGTGGGTTTCTTACGAGTTTGAATGACTAAAAATGAAGAAGATGCCATCTTATAAGCTTCCACCGACTTAGGGGACCCACCTCACGTGCCTGCTTGCGCAGTCTCGCGAAAATGCGAATATCTCTCTATTCTAAAGTCGTATGAACAAACCGTTTGATGCGTTGGAAACTAGACTTGAAGACCTTTGATTTAATGGGTCGCGGGCCGCATAAATCTTTATATATTTGGAGAAAACTTTCGAAATATTTTACCCAAATTTCAGAGAAATCTTTAAAAAGGAACTTACGATAATTTTTGCCAACTTTTATTTTGAGACTTACCTTACTTCAAAACTTGAGATACAACCCTTGAACACTTAAAATATGACATACCACATCATTATTAATGTATTACTCACCCTCTTTGTCTTTCCACGAAGGTACGAGTTAATTTAGACGTTTTGAAAAATCGTGGTATTGCATCATTCCCCCCTTAGAAACATTCGTAGTCGAAAGTGAAATCTAAGTCACACGATTATGTCCCAAGGAGTTGCCAAAGTGTAGGCAAAGTATCTTTTGTGTATGTGACTATCCAGAACCTGAAACACTGAAATTCTAACTTAGGCGTCTAACATGATGACATAAATAGCTAAGCATTATAGCTCCGCAATAACAGTGCAAGCAAAAATACAACGACAACAACCATAATAATAAGCAATAATATAAAAAATTAGATAGGTATCTTACCTTACTTCACTAATATAAACTGATATGCTATCACCCTAGGGTATGAAACAAGTGAGGATATTTGGACCTCATGACATCCTCAACTTCCCAGGTCACCTCTTCTCTATTCTTGTTTCTCCCCAATACTTTAACCGAAGCCACCTCATTGGTCCTCAATTTACAGACCTGTCGATCTAATTTGGCAATTGGAGTTTCCTCATAGGACAAATCCTCTGTGATCAGAACATCCTCAACTAGGACAACTCGATAAGGGTTTCCTACTCATTTCTGTATCATCGATACATGGAAAACTAGATGAATAGATTCTAGCCCCGAAGGGAATTTTAACTCATAAGCCACTTGTACTACCCTCCGAAAAATCCGGTATGGCCCAATAAATCTTGGACTAAGCTTGCCTTTCTTGCCAAATCTCATAACACCTTTCATAGGAGAGACTTTTAAGAATACCCAGTCATCGACACAAAACTCTAAGTCCCTTCGTTGCACATCTGAGTATGACTTCTGTCGGCTTTGAGCTGTTAGCAACCTCTCCCGAATGAGCTTAACCTGCTCCACTGTTTGATGTACTAGGTCAGGTCCAATCAACCCTGACTCACCTACCTCGAACCATCCAATGGGGGATCTACATTTTCGCCCATACAAAGCCTCATAAGGTGTCGTCCCGATGTTAGAATGATAACTATTATTGTATACGAACTCAATAAGAGGTAAGTGGTCATCCCAACTTCCATTAAACTCCAACATACATGCTCGTAGCATGTCCTCAAGTGTTAAAATAGTGCGTTCAGCTTGGCCATCTGTCTGAGGGTGAAAAGCGGTACTAAGATTAACTTGCGTCCCTAATCCTTTCTGGAAAGACTTCCAGAAGTTAGCAGTAATTATGCTCCTCGATATGAGATAATAGATATTGCGATGTCGTGCAACCTAACAATCTCTCAGATGTAAACCCCTGCATAATCTTCAGTTGTGAAAGTAGTCTTGACTGGTAA